TTTCCCCCCCAACTGTCACTTGTGACCCGCAGTTTATTTTTTTTCCGGCCACAGGTTTTCTTTGCAACGCCATTCGACGAAGAGAGGTCACCCTTCACCTTGTGTTATCATTTGTCATTTATTTTTGTGGTTTTTGTCTTTCTTTTTAGTTTTTAGCACCACCCCTCATGTATACATACCGGGGGGTGGGGGGGTTGGGGTGTTGTAAGAAGGCAAAGTGATATCTCTACCGACCGATGAGATTTAAAGTAGACCTCCACCCTAATTTGGTGGCATTTAGTTTGCTCATTGTTAGGTTTGTTTTCCATAAATCCACCTTTTTGTTTCTTTATTATTTTTCCATTTCGGTGCTGATGATCCCCTCCAGCCACTTCCTGTCTATATACGCTCACTGCAGTGTCTGCCGCACATCATTACTTTGGACTAGTTTCCCGGTGGTAACAACAGTGTCAGCGCTGCTACTTGAGGCCTCCACCCAGGGTGCATGTCACAATGCAGGAGCACAGTTGGGAGACAGTTGTCACCCTATAGCAGGAATTGCATGAACAGGGCAGGATCACCGGGGATTATTCTATTGAAGTTTGCAACTGGACTGGCCTTATTTTTCTGGAAGATGTTTCGCTTGTCATCCGACCGGCTTTCTCAATTCAGAATGACTTGTACAAAAATGATCTGTAATAAATATGGTGAATTTGATTGGAGCGACATTCACCATATTTATTCCCAGAGGATGTCCAGTGAAACGGCTTCAAGAAAAATACAGCGAGCCCAGGTGCCTTGACTACAGATACACCTAGTGAAATGATGACGTCATACAGCTTATATGCGATTTAAAGTGACACTACACTCAGGAGTGAAATCTTAATCGATTCAAGTCCCTGAACTAGTAACAACAATGTATCTTATTTGTGTATCACTCGGCTGGAGATCCTCCAATCATCTCTGACACTGTCCTTCCTTCTGGAGGGGGGCTACCTCTGTTCCCCATGGTCCCTGTGTGTGTTGTGAAGTAGTCACCGCTCCAAGCTCGCTCCCGGGATGGACTACAATCTCATGTTTAGTTTGCTAATTTGTATTGCGATTGTAGTGCATCCCG